CATGCAAGGAGGGCTGTAGAATTGATGATTACCATAATTAACCCTCTTTCTCATACCTGACTGCAAGAGTGGAAATACACTTTAAAGTACAACAATGGCTCCTGTATGACAGACTAAACAAAAGGAAAATCTAGTTATGTTTTGCAGAAGACTCCTAAAGTAAACAAAATACTTCCTTTACCTTCCACATCCTTCATTTGTGTCTCACATACTCCCCTCCCAGGCACTGAAGCTCACAGTGGGAGAGTTTCAGAAACAGAGGCCGTGCCGTTCATCCAAAAAAACAGTGGGCAGGACTAGGTGTGGCCAGGTTCTGATTCACAGGCTACAGTGATAATGTTGATATCTACACCCTCTACAGCATATTTTCATACCACTGTAGTACAAGCGGGAACAGCCTACATGAGAATGGCAACTTTGCTCTGAATTCAGGAGCAGTGCAGAATTGTTGCTACACCATCCCAGGAAGCTGCATTGGGTACAGGTATTGGTGGGAGTTTGCTGGGGGGGGGGCTAGCAAGCTGCCAATTACAGGCCTCTCTCATCTTTTTAAGTGGGAGAACGTGCACAATTGTTGAGTGTAAAAAGTGTAAAAGGGTTAATACTTACCTGTGTCTTCCCAGCGTGCTCCCGTCCGAAAATGTGAAGATCCTCGGGCGGCTGCATGTGCAGATCACATTTTTGGCCGGGACGCGAGGAGAGAAGCAAGGTAAGTATATGACGGCGTGCACCCTCATGCAGACACCATGGGACAGAAAGTGCCAGCAAGGACAGAGGAGTCAGCGCTGGATCGGAGACCCGCAGCAGCGCTGGAGGGACAGATGAAAAGTACAAGAAAGAAAAAGATCGGATTAAGAAACATCATTTAAGGTAAGTGCTAACATTAACATTGGGGGGAAGGAAAAACATTTTTGACTTTAATGTCAATTTAAGTGACACAGTACATATTTTTTAATAGGAGGCCATCGTTCTACTTTAATAAGCATTCACTAGAGGTCCTATGTGAAAAGGGCAGTGTGATCAAAGGGGCAGTTCCGAAGCTTTGACAGTATGCTAATAAACCTGCAATCAGCACAGTGAACTTTTGCTTCTGGTAACTGATCACTTTGATTAAGGCCCCTTCACACAGGCTGATCAATAGGGAATCCGTGCATGGATCCCCTCCTGACTGCAGCAGTACGTATCTGTCCAGATTTTTCCTCCATCTTGTGATGGAGGAAAGAACTAAAGCTGCCAGACCCTATGTCGGTCTATAGGGGGTCAGACTTGTGTCCGTTTACACCAGATTAACCCCGATCCAGGATGATCAGGTCCGGCGAAACGGAACACTGTTCCATTTGTTTTTGCGGATCTGAGTTGGGGTGTAACTTGGTGTAAACGGTCGCATGTCCATTTAGGTATGCGTTCTCAAGCATAACACTCTGTGCATATAGCATCGGTACCTGCAGCTCTGGTCCTCCGGTTCTATGTCCCTCTAGCATGCAAACTCCCACACCTCTCTCTAATGGCCACACTGCCTGGATCTACAGTCGGTATCCTGCACCTTCCCTCACCGCCTTATCTGCTGAGAAATTAAGTTATATGCCTGACAACATCCCCCTCCCCCAATACAATCTTCCACACTGCCATGAACTACAAGTCCCATAAACACAGCGGGCAGCGTGAGGGAGCTGTGGGCTCTCTTCTTCCTCTCTGGGGCCCCCCTCAACTGGCGGAACGACAGGGCCCGGTCGCAGATGTGACCGCAGCGACCCTGGTAGTGCCTCCAGTGTTTATAGCATATATGAGCTTCTTTATGACCAGATCATAAAGCAACAGGACATCATGCTTATAAGATAAATGTCATTTAGTGAACACTTGCATGTTCTTTATGTGTTATATCCTGAGCTGGGGGGCAAGTATACAATAACTGAACATATCAATAGCTAATCTAGAATTTTATAAAACAATTAAATAACATTAGATGTGTACATCTAGCAATGTTTTTTCTTGTCACTGCTGTGCATGTGTGACTCCCTAAAAGTGAAATGAGAGGTTCTTTCTTCCGTTTCAGTGAGCAGGTGCTGCTTCTGTGCATCTCTCGAAAGGAGCTATTTTTACAAACAGTCAAATTATGCAGTTACAGTTCTTAAACACACATGTTGCTGAAGACACCTACAGAAGTGCCACTGGACTAATAGCAAAGTTGGTTTGCACTTTAACACAGTGGTATTCAACCAATGGTTCATTGCTACTTTTAAGCTACTCATGGCTGTTTTCCAGCAGGCGCTTACTATAAGGCTCACAAGTTTAAAAAACAAAAGTTGCAGAGTTCTTCCTTAACCTCATTGAAGAATAAAGCAGGCTTCTGCTTTAACCTCACTGAAGCATATAGCAGGATTCTCCCTTAACCTCAGAGGAATATAGCAGGCTTTTGCCTTAACCTGAGGAATATAACAGGCTTTTGCCTTAACCTGAGGAATATAACAGGCTTCTGCCTTAAAGGAGAACTATGAGGCGAGTGCTGTTCACTCACCTCATATTTCTAGCCGACCTGTGACAATGAGACTGTGACAGGTTGGCTTAGTAGATCGGGAGGTGAGCGAACACATACCGGCGTTCGCTCACCTCTCGATCCTGTCACAGCTCTCTGCCGTGACACGGGAGGGGTTGGATTCCCCCCGCTCCGATCCGCCAGCGCTTACTGGCGGAACGGACGGGGGAGGGGGCGGCTACAGCTGGCTCTGCCTCTAGATAGGCAGAGCCAGCTGTCAGTCACGCAGCTGGGCAGATCCCGGCACAATTGTCGGGATCCGCTTCAGCTTCGGCGTCTCAGTATACCGCTAGCAGCGGCTCGCGGTATACTGAGCTTAGGGTGACGGGAGGACGCTAGTTTGTGTCCTCCCATTACCCTAAGGAGAACTATGGGGAAAAACACTGACCCCATAGTTCTCCTTTAATCTCAGAGGAATATAAAAGGCTTCTACTTCAACCTGAGGATTATAGCAAGATTCTACCTTAACCTCAGAGGAACATAGCAGGCTTTTGCCTTAACCTCAGAGAAATATAACAATCTTCTGCCTTAACCCAAGGAATATAACAGGCTTCTACTTTCACTTGAGGAATATAGTAGGCTTAGTTCCACCTTAACCTGAAGAATATAGCAGCCTTCTGCCTTAACAATGAACAATATAGCAGGTTTCTTCTGTAACCTCAGAGGGATATAGTAGACATTATGCTGAGGTCTATTGCAAAGTGCTTCTTTCTGTAAAACACAAACAAGAGCACAATATCGTTGAGTGGTACCTTGCGTTAATTGAACAGAACAGTGCAATTAACACACAGACCCTACAATCTCAAGGTGTGGAAAAAAAAAAAAAAAACTTGCGGGGTTTTCCAGCATCTAAAATGTTTTTGTTTTTTTTCTAGTGTTAACTAGAATCATAAGCAGATAGCTGTAAATAAAAACCATGTGTAACAATTTATTCAGTCTTCAGTTAACTGGTATACCGCATGACTCATTGAATAGAACTTTCTCAGATTTTTGGGTGGGTGGAAAGCAGAGGTAGAATCTAGGGATTGGGAAATTTAGCTGGGGTACAATCTATAGCTTCTGAAACTTAGCAGGTTAACCATAACTGGACAACTGGTATAAAGACAGGGGTAGGCAACCTTGGCACTCCAGCTGTGGTGAAACTAAAAATCCCATCATGCCTCTGCAAGTCTTGCAATACTCGATTGGACTTGTAGTTTCACCACAGCTGGAGTGGCAATGTTGCCTATCCCTGATATAAGGCAATAGGCCTAGAGGGATTTGTGTGGTTAATACACCCATTTACTACACATCAGTATATGCTTCTTGTCTAATAAGGGTGATGTCAGCACTGCATCTGAAAGTTCATACACATAGTTTTAAACTTTCAAAAGCATGCTGTGACCTTGAGATTCTTGGCTTTGGTATGTCAAATGAAAGGGCACCTTTTCTGCTTGTGGCTCAGAGCTTACCATAGTGCAGCAGTTCTCACGGGGGATTTTTCTCAGCAGGCAGTCTGCTGGCAGACTCCTCTGACTGCATGCCAGTACCATTTGTTACAATGTAATTGCTGCATAGCTAATTAGGACAGAGACATCGCTGAAAGCACCTGTCTGGAAGCACCCTGCCAGATGTTTGCCAGGATCATTACTGTTACGTAACAGAGCAAAATGTGAAGTCTTGAAGTCCTGGCAATTCGCCATTCTGTAAGACACTTATTGTAACAATCACATATTCAAATTTAGGTTGGTCCCAGGTTGTTTTTTTTTCCTCCCCAAATTGATGCATTTATATTTCTAAACCTGACTTCGCTATGAAGCCTGTACAGCTTTCTTCCTTCTAGTGAAAAACATGCATGATGCACAAGCAAGGAACATATTTTTGCACCATACTCTGTATGGCGGAATCATGAAACCACATTAAAGGGCCACTGCTGAAATACCGTGTGAGGCAAAAAGAGCCCATCTGACATTTTTACTGCACATCATCTCACATGCCACAGTAAAAACTGCCAATACACCAGGGAAAAATTGGACAGATCCCTATTTAGATAGTTTACTATTTTACAGTATATGTAGTTTAAAGGCCATCTGCCAAAGCAAAACACTTGTTCGATCAGGCTGTCATGGAGGCATACCTTTACAATGGCGCCAGTTCTAGGCTACATTGCTCTATAGATTGAATTGGCTTCACTAACCTAGGCGCTGGAATATCTACTTCCATCAGAGTCTAATCGTACAGGTGTTTTGCCTGCTAACATTCAATTTAAACCTCCAAACAGGTGTCAGGCTTTTGTGAGAAACCAAAACAAAATGCAGTAAGCGGATGTCACCTTTAACAAGTATAGAACGTACAGTGAAAAAGGTTGGCGGTTAGTTGCTATGGGTTACTGCACTTCTTTTTTACAGTGTAACACAAATGTGAATGTACAGTGAATATAATCAATCAAAAATAAAACAAAAACACGTATGTCCATTAATTTGTTTTATTAAAAAATGCAGATCATTTTAATTCTGTTCCCTGCGTTAGAAAAACAAAAACAAAAAACACAGCAATATGCCATTTGTCCACATATTTACACTGTACATGGTCATTGTACAACCTATTTACAAAACTGTATAATTACACATAAATATATAATATAAAAAAGGTTATTTTAGCAAGACCTCTAGCCCTGCAGTTTTATAGTGTAATGTGACCAAACACACTGTTTATATAAAAATATATTCCAACTGAAAAGACGACAAAAAAAGTTCTTAATGCAGTTTATATATTTAACAAAAAACGTTTTTGGGATATTCAAATGTTTATCCTGTCAAAAGGAGAAAAGTCAAGAATATGGCAGTTTCATATAAACGTTGTCTCGTATAAGGCAGTTGCAATCAACATTCTGGACAATGGAATGTAAAAGAACAAAAAGGCACGTTCCCTTGCATTATACAGTACACAATATCTTGATATAGTTTTAATTCTCCTGGAAGACAGTACCCAGATCTTATACCCTAAAGTGACTAAGTAGCATCATCAACAAACCATTCTGTCTGGTGTGATAGAGGTGCACACTTTAGTAATAGGACCTGGGAAGTGTGCTCAAGTCTAGAAAATCTGAAAATACATTGAGATGGTCTGTATCACACAATGAAACATAGCTAGGGGTTTTGAATCCCACGTAGAACTCTCAATGCCCTTTAAAATACTTTTTGCTGCTCTTAAGCAAGCAAAGTGTTAACAATCATTAAGGACTGATATATAGCTACCAACATATTTAAGCAACCCCATGCAAGAGGCATTCCAGTTAATGCACAAGTTCAAGTTATTAGGTCCAGCCTGTGTTTCTTTAAATCAAGTCATTCCTTGCAAGGTCCACTAGAGTTACGGAAAGCGTGTCGCCCCCATAATGCAGTACCAGCTACAGTGAGACCTCGACAAAGTTACACGGAAAGTTTATGTGGTTGTGTCACCCTAAACTGCTTCACAGCCGCCAAGACTTTACATATGCCTCTTCATGTGCAGTGCCAAGTGGTCTGATCGGGAGAAGGCACGGTCACACAGGTGACACTGAAAGGGTCGGTGCCCGGTGTGTTTGCGGAAGTGGCGCGTCAGCTCATCGGACCTTGCAAATTTCCATCCACAACCTTCCCAATTGCAGTGATAAGGTTTCTCACCTAGAGAGGGAACACAGAAAAGGTTAATTAACTTATAGTCAATATCATCAATGAAATGCAACCAAAACAATGCTTTCCTGACTGACATTCAATTCAACAATGAAAGTTTAACGATTAAGGAAACTTAAAAAACATTACTAGAAACTTCTAAACTGTGCCTTCAAACGTGACATCTGCAAAGTATTTTGTTAAGCATGCATTCCTGTCATCATCAAACCCAGAATGAGCACCTTCAAAGCAAACGAATACTTACCAGTATGTGTTCGTAGATGCGCTTTGAGATGAGAGCTTTTGGTATAAGTCTTTCCACAGCCAGCATACGAGCATGTATGCGTCGCCGTCCTCTTTCTGGGCCAGGATCGGCGCCCTCTCTTTGGTTTGGCATCTAGGATTTCTAGAGGGGAGCATGGAGGAGTCAGGACACCCCTGGTGGCAGTAGGCTGCATAGATAAACTGTCCTCAAACAGACTGTACTGTGATGCACTTTGATACTGGATTGGAGATGGATGATGGAAAGCTGCTGTATTCTGATATCCATGCGAGTATGGCAGGGTGGCGTGACACATAAGCTGAGTCTGGCACTCATTTAGCATTAGTTCATCTGGGCTCATAGGTGGAGTGTCAATGCCACCCATTTGTGGAGAATTGGCTAGTCTTGGTTGATCATATGCCATCATGCAAGCAGTGCTACCTTCCTGCTTAATTTTTGAACAAGACTGGGGGACCAAGCCGATGACAGGTCCATAAGAGTCCATACATGGTTCTGTTTTGATGGAGTCTGGAAAGTCAAAAGCTGAAGATACAAAAAACCTCCCCTGAATCAAACTGTTTTGATGGCAGAAGCTGTCCATGTCAGATCTCATCAACTCAGTCATAAGGCTTGTTGAAGTGTAAGGTGGTGGACTGTGATCTGCGCTGTAGCCCCCTGGAGAAGGGTTTGTTTGGTAATAAGTGCAGTGTTCAGGAGATGACAGTGAATAGTCTTCACATGTCTGAACGTTTCTGTCGGCTCCCATAGACAGCACAAATTCCAGGACATTATTTAAATCTTCATCTTCTTTCTTGGAGCAGAATGTGTCTGTACTGTGCATTCCATGGGACACGTTGCAACTGCTTTGCATAGTCTTGGAATCATAGGAAGCCTTCCATTTCTAAGAAATAGTAAAAAAAAAAAGAATACACAGTCAGAAAGAAAGAACATAACTATGCAAGAGGAACCATCAACCACAGTATTCACACACACACCCAGCACTATAATCAGGTAGTTCACCCACGCACCTGTAGCTTCACTTATGGTTTACCAGATGTTTGTATCAAATACCCATATCTACACAAGGGTTCCTTCCCTCCTCATAAATGCATGTTTTCCAGATCTCCTACCAGTAAACTTATACTTTATGTTCACCTGTTACCCATGAACACACCTGCGCTCCTATCTGAACACCAGGAGCACATGACACTACCGAGGACCACAGCAAACTCCTCTGCAGCAAAAAGCAGATGGTAAGCTGACATGGTCACCTAATGCTGCAAAATTAATGGTTTTGTCTAGTCCCAACTTCTCTTAATGGATTTCAGAAAAGGCATTCAAGGGTTAACCTTGTGCTTGAACTTGTAAAAGTTTACTGCACCAAGAGATCAGCTGATACAACAAGCGAGAAGCCGCTCCATTCAGAAAAGATGCCTTCATCTGATCATCATGCTAATTGTACGCCAACTGCTGGAATGATTTTTTTTATTTTGGGATAGCATAAAACATAGGTCTATTTTTCAACACGTGCACTGTGCAACAATAAGCTACATTCATGATGATTTAACACATGCATGAGGAGCCTTATTTTAAACCACCTGACTGATTTGTAAATCTCTTGGAAAAACTAAAAAAAAAGTTTTAAAAAATGCATTTAAAAAAAAATAAGGATCCTGGCATGTTTGCCTTGTGAATTGAGCCCAATGTATAGATGCTATATATATATATATACACACACACACACACACACACACACACACACACAAATTTATTTAAAAAGTGTATAGATAAAGAAATTATATATTATATTTTAAAATGTGTATACATAAACAAAAATAAAATCCATCTATCTATATATCTATCTATATATCTATGTATGTATCTATATATATATATAGATAGATATACAGATAGATATATATTGCATGTTTTAAGGCACTTGCATTGCAATGCCTGCTGTTGATTGCTGTCAAAGTGTCACCCTGTCAAATTTCCCCCCAATGCTGCCATGCAGATCATACTTACATCTTGGAGGCATTTCTCTCTTTGGTTGGAAAACGTCGAAAAAGAAGGCAGGATGGTTTCGGCTAGAGCCATGTCTGTGCTTTCTTAAACCGGGTCGGATTGCCAGCAATAGCGACAACGAGTCGAAGAAAAGAAATAAGAAGCAGCTGCGATTAAACTAAGCTAAGGTCGCTCTCCATAAACTCGCCTGGAGAGAGGTCTGCGTGTGCATCGAGTTATGTGCAATAAGGAAAAAAGTTTTCATGCCGCTGAGAGGGGGTCTACATTATAAATAAAGGCACGGGGGGCAAGCACCAAACCAATTGCGAAGAGAGGAGGAAACACGTTCAGGATAAGGAGGCTGACCGCTCAGCGGAGCCTAAATTTAGCAGCACTATATAAACCCTTCAGTTCAGAGCCGACTGCAGCTGGAGGAACAACTCGGGGAGCCCTTTAACGACTTAGCCACGCCCCTCTGAGCACGGTCTCCTGGCAACCGAAGGAAACACAGCCCAACACATTGCCTCCTGACGTACGTGTGACGTAGAGGGAGCCCCAGGCTCACGAGCCCGCCTTTTCCAACTTTTTTTTTTACTTCACTGTGAATTCGAAAGGAGAAGCTGATCTGTGACAGCAGCTGCACATTGTTTTTTTTTTTTTTGTTTTTTTTTAACTGTACTAGAGTCAGGAGAAGGATTTTGACCGCATTCCACTTTTGTTCTTAAAGTACATGTCAACCCAAACACCAACATGAAAAGTTGATAGGAACATTTTTAAAGCTGAATGCTGGGCTCAAAAACTAATTAGCCGCTTTGTGTGCAATTTTGTATTATGTCTTTACAAATTCAATTACTACCATATAAAAGAAGCAGTGACATTGTTACTGTGCTGTACATAACCTGTGCAGAGAGGAGAACTGTGTGAGGGCCCAACATGTCCTCCCACTATAGGCTGCCTATACTGGCCAAGACTGGTCACCCTGTGCAAGAAAAGAGAATAGCCATGACTGGTCTTTATTACAGGTAGCTCTTGCACAGAGGCAAAGTCATGTTGCTGCACAGATCTGTGGAAAAAATACACAAAGATTCAACTAATAATAAACATGGCATTTGTATTTTGACAGTATTTGTTGTGGCTGGAGTTAAGCTTTAAATCTGCACCTTTCAATAAAGTGACACTAAACTCAGGGGTTACATTTTTAAAATACATTCAAGTCCCTTAACTAGTAACACAAATGTATATTATTTGTGTATCAGTCAGCTGTAGATCCTCAAATCATCTCTGAATTCATGCTGACACTGTCCTTCCTTCTGGAGGGTGGCTACTTTTGTTCCCCATGGTCCCTGTGTGTGTTGTAAAGTAGACACCACTCCAAGCTCGCTCCCGTGATGGACTACAATATGACGTTTTGTTTACTGATTTGTATTAGGACAGGGGCAGGCAACTCTGGCCCTCCAGCTGTTGTGGAACTACAAGTCCCATGAGGCATTGCAAGACTCTGCCAGCCACATGTATGTCTCCCAGAGGAAGAGGCATTTGTAGCTAAAGCACAGCTGGCGGGCCAGAGTTGCCCACCCCTGCCCTAGTATGTACTTGCTCAATGCACTGACACAGTTTCAGAGTGTAGGAGAGGTAGAGAGCACAGGAAGTTATCAGCTCAATGGCAGGATCAACAGGTATTCTTTTGCACGTATGGAACAAATGTAGCCAAACACTTTCATTGGTATAATTAACAGACCAAGAGGGAGCAAACTCATTATTAGGGTTTACTTACACTTTAAGGGAATTTTTCACAACTGTAGTATATCTATCTATCTATCTATCTATCTATCTATCTATCTATCTATCTATCTATCTATCTATCTATCGATAGATATATTGTATATATCCATATATGTTCATTTTATGGTGGCTATCAGTGAAGAGCCTGGGCTTGGTGTAAATCCAGTTCACCTGAGGTCACCCAAGCCCGTTCAGAACTGTGACCACCACTCCCCCTTCCCGGCCCAATCAGTTGCGGAGGTGCATTCCCCATCCCGCAGCTAAGTCACAAAGGGGTGGGGAATGCCACCTCCGCCACTGGTCTGGGAGCAGGGGAGATTGGCAGTCACAGTTTTGAGCAGGCTTGGGTGATATCAGGTGAACTGGTTCATCACTAGTTGCAATGGGAAGCAATTGTTAGAGCACTATGATACCTAAGACTCAAAGTACTGAAGCAATGGCAGCTCCATTTTTCTCTCAATAAACTTTAATGACAAAAATGCACAGGAAACCTTTATCTATAAACATTTTTAAATTCCTCCACTTACACTCAGCATTGTGTGAACACACGTACATTGACCTAATGGGCTATCATGCTTTAAGGCACATTGTGTCATTGTGTTAAAGAGGACCTTTACCCTTATGTTTGAAATTACAACAAACACACCTTTAGAAATTTAGTAATGACAAACTACAACCACATACTTCTAGATAATTGCCGGCTTTTATTCTTTACATACCTTATTTTTAATTTTCCTCCCCATTCTTCTCACAGTGGCCATTTTTACTAAGGGCAGATTAATATATCTCCCTTTACTTCCTGGAATTCTGGACCATGTGACTAGGACATGTGACCATGTACATCAACTCAGGGAAGGAAAATGTATTTCCCTGAGATGGGATTTCCCAGCAATGCTCTGCTGATGTAACCTTCCCAGGATGCGACGCCTGGGCACAATTAGATCACTAATGCCCCTCAGGAACAAGAAAAGACAGTAGTTGTACGTAAAAGAAAAATATGGTTGTTTCACTAACGAATGTAAGATGATGTCATATCAGCATGCAGAGCTGTATGCTGATGTGATTTTTAGTGAAAGGGGTAAAGGTTGACTTTAAGGCAGCCCATTTACTTTGAACAGGTTGGCAGTGCACCTCAATGCACAAAAGACATGCACTATTTTTTGCCCCCCACAAACGTTTCAACGCCAGTGCATTATGCTCTGCTGCCTAAATGCATTGGGGGTCATTCAAAATGAATTGCACCACCATGCAGTGTGGGTTATGTATCGGCACATGTTGACAGGAAAAGGCTCATTATTAGTGCGTGCCACATTATGATACTCTACATTGCCCCTAAAATTGATCCCGTGCTTTACACATACAAAACAAAACAACAGGTTGACTTTAAAGGAGAACTATGACATGAGTGATTTCCACTCACCTCATAGTTCTAAGCCGACCTGTGACAATGAGACTGTCACAGGTCGGCTCAGTAGATCGGGAGGTGAGAGAACACATACCGGGTTCCCTCACCTCTCGATCCTGTCACGGCTCTCTGCCGTGACAGGGGGAGGGGCTGGATTCCCCTCCCCCGCTCCCATCTGCCAGCGCTGACTGGCGGAACGGACGGGGGAGGAGGCGGGTACAGCTGGCTCTGCCTCTAGATAGGCAGAGCCAGCTGTCACTCACGCAGCTGGGCGGATCCCGTCATCTAAGTCGGGATCCGCTCCAGGTGCTGCGTCTCAGTATACCGCGAGCTGTAGCTCGCTGTATACTGAGCTTAGGGTAACGGGAGGACGCTAGTTTGTGTCCTCCCGTTACCCCAAGGAGAACTATGGGGAAAAACACTGACCCCATAGTTCTCCTTTAACGCTTCTTCCCAGCTGCACACATTCACCTTTCCTTCAATTCCCCACTGCTCAATTCACCAGCAAAAAAAGGCAGCCTATGTAAGTTGCTCATGTTGGACCTTACACACAGCTGAAGGCTCACCCCGGCACCATGTGACAGTGCTAACCAATCACTAAGCACCAGCGTTCTCACAAAGAATGAGTCACATGCTCCTTCATACTTAAAAGTACAGTTTTTTCCGTGCTCCTGGAGCTGCGGGGAGAGAAAGTAAGGTGAATATGTACTTCTAGGGAGTTAGGCATTACATTGACCCTGTCTTTATTTTAAAAAGTTGTAAAAAGGGCATGCCCTTAAAAAAATGAGTTAAACCTGTTCCCCGCTACCAATCTTCGCTATGTTGCAGATCTAGGCTATCGGAAAAGTCTTCTGCATCCCCCACACTTCCCCCATTGTTCTAATTAGCCCCAGAGTTTATTTAAAACAAACCTGTTGCTTTGCCCTGCATGAGTTCAATGGTGATAATTAGAAAACATTAAAGGAGAACTATGTGGCGAGTGAAAATCACTCAGCCTCATAGTTCTAGCCGACGTGGGACAATGAAACTGTCACAGGTCGGCTCAATAGATCGGGAAGTGAGTGAACACATAGCGTCACTTGCTCACATCTCGATCTATCCCTGCAGAGAGCCGTGACTGTCGCTCACTGCTCCCTGGATTCCCCCCCCCCGCTCCGATCCTCCAGCACTGACTGGCGGAACGAACGGGGAGGGCACAGCCTCTAGATAGGCTCAGCCAGCTGTCAATCACGCAGCTGGGTAGATCTCGACAGTAATGTCGGGATCTGTCCTGGCTGCGGGGTCTCAGTATATCGCGAACTACAGCTCTGTGCTGACTGGCGGAACGGACGAGGGAGGGGGCGGGTACAGCTGGCTCTGTCTCTAGATAGGCAGAGCCAGCTGTCACTCACCCAGCTGGGCGGATCCAGACATAATTGTGGGGATCCGTTTCAGCTAGACGCTAGTTTGTGTCCTCCCGTTACCCTTAGGAGAACTATGGGGAAAAGCCCTGACCCCATAGTTCTTCTTTAATATATAGGTTAGGATCACATGGTCACATAGGGTCACCATGCTTGCAATTTGCTGCTTGCAGTCCAGTTATGCAAGGATAGTTTTTCCAAAATAAGTACGTCTGACAGTATCAGAGCATTCCCCCTGACTTCCACTCTGAGAAGAAGTAGCAATCACTAGCTCAGTCAAGAATTTGCACATATTCAGTTAAAAAAAAAAAAGTGTGTAGGTATGAAAAGCACGTGTGTAACCCTAGCCTCAGGGAGACGGATATATTTCATATCATCCTACATAAACGCTTGCAGATTCGTAGCGTGCAAGATACATGTGAACTAAATGCAGCAAAGTCTTACAACATATGTTTTACCTGGGTGCTCATTTAAAACTATGTTCTGACAATTTATTGGCATTGTGACACAACTAAGATTAATAATGACAGAGAAGAGTGCGTTCACCTAGGCGTCTTTATACTTCAATAAAAACACAGTCTATAGAGAAACTATCCCCTTCTGAGGATTTGCAAAGAGAAACAAGTTTTGTGAGATCAGGCAGAGGGCTTTTTTTTTTTTTTTTTATTGCATAGAAACGCAAGGTTTGTTTTGCAAACTTAAGTAAGACTGTTCTAAAGCTGAGAACAAGAAGAAATGAGGATGGGCAAGTCTGCAGGACATATTAAAAAGAACATAGTGTAAGGAATGTGTAGGAAGTAGACAAAATGCATACAGGCTTGCAAAACGACATTGCTTAAAGCAAAAAATCTATAGGCGGCTCGCTTGACTGTCTAGCAAAACTGCTGATAAAAGCATTATATGTTTACTTTCGTAAATAAAGCCCTTAAAGCAGAACTCTGGTTTAAAATGTTATTAACCCTTGCAGTGGGGCTACCCTGGACTGCAAGTTTAGCTGCTTGTTTTTGCCTCTGGTAAAAAAAAAGTTATACTCACCCGAACCTCGCAACTGGGCAGCTCTTAGACTGATCCCTGGAGCCTCTGTTGCAGCGGTCCACGGATTCTCGAGTCATCACGTCTCATACAGTGTATGGGATGTGATAACGCTGAGGGCCTACCATTATTGCAGCAGAGGAGGAGGCAGGCAAGAGGAAGCGCTGTCACAGCCGGCCAGCTCTGAGGTTTAGGTTAGTATTGTTTTTTAACCTAAAAAAAACGAGCAGTTCACCCTTGCAGTGCAGGGTAGCACTACTGCGAAGGGTTAATCAAATTTGTAACTGGAGTTGTCCTTTAAAGTACAGGTATACCTTTGTATAACAAACCCTGTATGGATTTCCCCACCCCTCCTAATTTATTATACCCAAAATCAGACCTCATATGCAGCGCGGACCTGCTTTACATTGAAGGGCTCTTTTCCAAAAATTCGAAGATAAGTCACCATCACTCAACAGCTCAATATGCACATAAAGTTAGTTTTATTGAAAAATTACTCCACATAGGTCAATAAGCCAATGTTTTGGGGCCGCGCAGGCTACGTAGTGATCAACTGTGACCAACTGCGTCACTGTCCAGCCTTGAGGTAGGGACTCTACGCGGCCCCAAAACATTGGCTTGTTGACCTATGTGGCATAATTTTGCAATAAAACTAACTTTCTGTGCATATTGTGCTGTTGGTTGCTGGTGACTTATCTTCAAATTCCTGAGGTTCTCCATAGTGGTCACTAGGAGCTCCTTCTCTGTTATTATTGGTCACAAAGCTGTAATGTGTGCAGATCTATATCGATTTATGGATGTCGGGCAGGATTTACATTACATTTTTCCCATGCTTGTGTCCCAGTGCATGGGTGTGACTTCTTATAAAAGAACCAGGGGAATCCATACAGGATTTTTGAGAAAAAAAAGTAGACCTGCGCTTTAAATACAAAACTTAATGTGGATCCCCCAACCTGCACAGACATAGTCTACTGCTTGGTGGACAATCTTCTTGGTGTCCTTTGCATGGTTGGCACCAGCTCATCAACAATTTCCCAATGATGGGCTTCCATTCTAGTTGCCTGTGCAACACTCACAGCTGCATATGGCTTATGGCCAGTTTAAGATTTAACACCTATAGGTGCGATACCTCGTACCCATTTCCCATGCTTCTAAGCCATTAAGAATAATAAAGCCATAGACCATGCCTAAAAAGGTAGGATCACACTACTTGGTTTGGAGACCTGAACATGCACTTGTTTACATCTTTACAGCCAAATGTGCGTGTATTTTTGGGCTTTTCTGCTCAATGCACTTCTGAATTAGAGCATGTGTTTTCCTGCCTATGTGTATGAGCCCTAGCTATGGCTCGAAAGCTACCACCAGAGTATTGTGCATTGTCTGCTGCATAGAAAGATAAATATGTCCTTTATGTCCTGTTTAGGGTCTTTACTGCAGTCATGTTGTCAATCAGAGAAATATAAAGGATCTCTCAAAATCTTGCAAGTTAAATCTAGTTGATATGCCTAGAAACTGTAACATGATTATCAGGGTTCTCCATACAAAATGAATTTTTTTTATGCACCTATGTCCTGGATATTGCTCCATAATGTATAACATCATAACAAGCAGTTCAAAGCATCACTTCTAGCAACTTGGGCCTTCTTCCTCATATTTTATGAATCAAGTAATCACACAACTAGCATTTTTCCCCCTATATAAATGTGATATTAAAAACTTTCTGCCACAATAATAATAATAACAACAGTTCAATGGAAGTCTAAAGACAGGGATGTTTGCTGGTAACCTGGTTGGGGAAGCAAGTTTCTGTTTAAATGGAATCTGTGCCTCGCAGAATCAGCAGGACAAATGCATGCAAGTCCAAGGGATTTATGTTGAAAATGTATATGCTTACTGCTTAATCTGCCAAAGGAATTGTAACTGCTGGTGTTGTGTAAAATGTGTGCGTCACTTCAGGCGGGGGGGCATGTTGCTCCTGGATTAAGAATCAGGAGGCGGACGGTGGTCAAATGAGCACCTCTTGGAACACAGTTCTCAGGTAAGTAAGATGTATTTAAAAAAGCATAGTCAGCACCATGTTCAGGGAGCGGGAGGGAAATGGTTTATTGATTTTTATTTGTAGGTGGAATTGGGCTTTAAAATCAGTGAATGAGGTCATACAGAATTTTTGTGGTGCTCTGATTTCCTCACTTCTAATACATTGTATTAGCAGCCATCATTTTGGATTTCCCAACTAATGATAAACCTAAGGGGGTCATTTATATCTGAGACTGGGTATTACCACTTGCTCTCTGTTATACATTATGTATTATTATATGGCATATATATTTCTTGGATACACACACTGCAACCTGCCTATTTAAATAAATTGAGCCTTGATGTGTATCTGCTGAAGCTCTATAGAGTTTTCTCTGCTGAACTGAAGGTGAGACGGTCATGTGACTTTACCAGGGCACACGATGGGCTCTCCTCTGCTCCTCTGGGCATTGTGCAGAGTACATTTGTAGAGCACATCGCTTTGCTTTATTAAAGGAGAACTATTAGGGTTAGGGCTTTTCCCCATAGTTCTCCTAAGGGTAACGGGAGGACACAAACTAGCGTCCTCCCGTCACCCTAAGCTCAGTACACCGCAAGCTACAGCTCGCAGTATACTGAGACACCGCAGCTGAAACGGATCCCGACAATTATGTCTGGATCTGCCCAGCTGCGTGAGTGACAGCTGGCTCTGCCTATCTAGAGACAGAGCCAGCTGTACCCGCCCCCTCCCTCATCCGTTCCGCCAGTCAGCACTGGGGGATCGGATTGGGGAGGGGGGAATCCAGTCCCTTCCCTGTCACTGCTCTCTGCCGTGACAGGATCGAGAAGTGAGCGAACGCCGGTATGTGTTCGCTCACTTCCCGATCTACCGAGCCGACCTGTGACAGTTTCATTGTCACAGGTCGGCTAGAACTATGAGAATGAGTGAAAAACACTCACCTCATAGTTCTCCTTTAATGTGCAGTTTTCTTTTTTTACTTCAGCAGCATTTGTAAATGAACCCCTAGTCTTTACATCCCAGAACTTTCTATTTGAATTCTATTTACTTTAGAACTCAAGGTGAAAGAAGTCATGTCAACATTGTGAGCCATTCAAGAAGAACGCTGGGCTGGCTCTTAGACTGGAAGCCTCTCTCCCCCTCCGGCCTCCGCTGGAGGGAGCACTGTCACAGTTGGCTGGCTCCAAGGACCGGGTGCATGTAACTTTTAAATGTTTCTCCCTAGACCAAAACGAACATGTAACACTTGCAGGGGGTGGGGGTAGCCCCAGTGCAAGGGTTAATAAAAAATATTGCTCTAATAATAAAAAGGCTATATTGCATCATAATATGTCTCAATCATTGGGAGCAGAAGTGAGGCAACTTACAGGAGGGTACTCCATCAACTTGTACTACTCATTTATTCTCCAATGAAAAAGCTGAAGTGACATATGAAGTTGCAAAGCTGCAGAATAGCTGAACAGTATTACAAAATGTTTTCACAGATAAAGCATCATTGGCAAAATTAACACAGGTGTCCATGGTACTGAGTTGGTGGCCTCTACATGCATTGTGATAACATACAGAAGCCCCCAATTCACAAAAGGAAACAGGATAACGAGACTGTGTTACACCTCTGCTATGTATGGCCATTTCAAGGCAATTTTTGATAATGACAGTTGTCACCGAAGTTGAAACTGAAACACTAATGAGGTAACAGATTCCTCCCACAAAACATTTATCTCATTAAATCAAAGTAAAAAGGAAAAAAAAGTACTTTAAGAGCAGTACATCCCTTTCAAACTGACAAGCAGCCCTGGTTTTTAAACAGCTATGCAAATATTTTCACTACAGAAAGATACATCGCAATAAAGTTTCTGCTGCGTTCAGTTAAACCATTAATACTGAAAGTAAGCTGCCTGTACAGATAATTATTTGGTTAACCACCTCTCATCACTATACTGGGTAAATGTAACTGATTTTTCATTGGCAAACGATTATACCTACAAAAAAACGTACTTTCTTTACTATTCTCACGTTCGCATTTTCGTGCAACGAGTTTCTAAATGATTGCTTCTGAAATTGTTTTATGTTCACCATAGCATTAAATGATGAATGCTGTAACCCCTTAATGCCTATAGGTCTTAGATCTTGAGCTTCTGCATTTGCTCCCGGCGGTGGAATTGTATTTCTCAGAGCAGCTCCCACTCACAGAACACCGGGATCGCCAACACTTGTTGCGTTGCAGTTCTATTGGGTGGCTTGGGCCTGTTCAGTTTTAATGGAATTGACTACACACACACACATGTTTTTTGGGTACGTGTACAAAAAGAAATTACATAAAATAATCATACTGAGTTAAAAAAATAGTTGGTGAAGAAACAATAAATACGTGAATTAATAATTGATAGATTACTGCACTATAATGTTGTCTATTGTAGTAGAGTTGAATTCAAGGAAAACTATAAGGTGAGTGAATATCACTCAGCCTCATAGTTCAAACCGACGTGTGACAATGACACTGCCACACGTCGGCTCAATAAATTGGGAAGTGAGCGAACACATACTGTCGCTCGTTCACTTCTAGATCCTGTCCCTGCAGAGAGCCGTGACTGTCAGTCACGGTTCCCTACAGGGATTCCCCCCTCCCCGCTCCAATCCTCCAGCGCTGACTGGAGGAGCGGACGGGAAAGGGGGCGGGTACAGCTGGCTCTGCCTCTAGATAGGCAGAGCCAGCTGTCACTCACGCAGCTGGGTGGATCTCGACAGTAATCTAGGGATCCGTCCTGGCTGCAGAGGTCTCAGTATACCGCGAGCTGCAGCTCGCGGTATACTGAGCTTTGGGTCACGGGAGGAGGTTCGTTTATGTCCTCCCGTGACCCTGAGGAGAACTATGGGGAAAAACACTCACCCCATAGTTCTCTTTTAAGTAGAATTTACAGTGTGTTTGCAGTGTAGAGCCTTTTCGATCCACACGTAATAAATTAAACTCTGGGCAAAAATGTTCTTAACCCTTGCAGTGGGGCTACCCCCGCACTCCAAGGGCTAAGTGCCTATTTTTGTCAAGGTGCTAAAAAAAAGTTATACTCACCTGATTTTCAGAGCCAGCTTGTTCTTAGACCAGTCCCTGGAGCCTCTCTCCTCCTCCACTGCAGCGGTCTAAGGATCCTGTGAGTCATCATGTTCTATACAGTGTATAGGACATACGGAAATCAAGGGACATACTATTACTGTGGAGGAGAGAGGCTTTAGGGACCAGTGTAGCAGTCAGCTGGCTTTGCGTTTCGGGTGAGTATAACTTTTTTTTAGCACCTAGACAAAAATAAGCACTTAACCCTTGCAGTGTGGGGGTAGCCCCACTGCAAGGGATAAGAATATTTTTGATCAGAGTTCTGCTTTAATGCTTAAGGGCCCATTCACACCAGCAAGCCACGTTGAACACCCAGCCACTGGTCTGCAAAGACAGGCGATGACAGACACAGTGCTGACGTGCAAATTTCAGCGCATAACACTGATTACCTTTTTTTTTTGTTCAAACTTTATTGAAATGTCATGAGTGACATTCCATGAAGTTAAATTGGTACAGCATGATGCGGTTGTACCGCATCACACCACGTTGCACTGAAAAAAGTACAACATGACATACTTTTTTACAGAGTGTTGTGGTGGTGTGAATTGTTTCCATTGAAACAACACAAATTGTTTGTCTGTGACTTGGGGCTGCGCTAGAAAATGTGGCCAGTGCAGTCCCAATGCTTCTGGTGTGAACGGGCCCTCATGCAACTCTGTTACTTACACAAACCCGATGAACAAAGATGTACCAGTAAATAGATAAAGCAAATACTTACCTTTCTGGCTGCCTGTAGCACTGAAAACTGCTCCATTATAAAGAAA